TTTTAGGATTTGGGGCTTCGGATCAAGGGTAGAAAGGCTGCTTCGGCTCAAGGGCTTCAGGGTCTGGAAACTCTGAAGCTTCGTAAAGCCTCACAGCACCGGCAAAAAATCCAAGTAGCTTCGGAAATCCCGAAGCTCTGTGAGAATGTCAGCCGGCTTCTTTCGATCCTTTCGCCCGCGGCTGTTAGTCCGAGCTTTGTCCTCACAAGAAAACACCAACGGCCAAAGCCAAACCTTAAGCCTTATAATGTAGCGGCCTAAATAATCACCAATACTATTTTGGGGGTTCCTTCTTAAAGTATAATGGGCCCCAAAGCCGTATTCTAAATACTATATAAGGCCCCTACCCTCAACCCTAAACCCTAAACACCTAAACCCCTAAACCCTAAACCTACAGTAAGCCTTAAACCAAGCCTAGGTCGGGGTGCGGACGACTTGGCCAGGGAGCTGGGAAGGGACCGCCCGGGAGAGGGTGAGTTGGGTCTTTAGTTCTTAAATTTTATGGTTTAGGGTTTAGGGTTTGGGGTTTAGGGTCTTAGGGTTTTAGGGTTTAGGGTTTAGGGTTCTTAAATTTGATGGTTTAGGGTTTAGGGTTTGGGTGACTTAACGGACTAGGGCCTTTCAGGGTTCCGAACAAGTTCCGGGTTTACGGGGGTTAGGGTTTCAGAATGATTCAGAGGTCCGGGTTTTGGGTTTGGATCAATGTTTTAGGGTTTCGAGTGTCGGGGATCAGGGTGCGGGGCTTGGTGGTTAGACTGTAGGTTCATCATGCGGGGAGAAGGATGCGAAGGGCTTGGTGATTAGGGTTTGCGGTCAGGATTTGGAGTTGGTTTCGCGAGAGAGGTCAGGGGCAACAGCTCGCTGTAGTATACTATATATACTATGCTATGCTATACTGCACTATACTATACTATACTATACTATACTATACTATACTATACTATACTATACTATACTATACTATACTACACTATACTATACTATACTATACTATACTATACTATACTACAGGTAGCATACCATACGTCGATACGCTTTAACAGACTATAACATACTATCATATATACTCTACTGTTTCTAGGGTTGAGCTGCTGCGTTACTACGCCCGACCATCCAGAGAGCCCTGTAGCCCTTTTCGATGTGGCTTTATGCTTGGGCTGCTTAGGGTTTACGGGTTTCAGAGGGCTGCACAAGTTTCTCGCGTGCTACATGAAGCCATGCTGCGGTAGATCATAAGCAAAGCCCGGCAAAGCCATATGTAATTTATGGAGAACCCACGACTCCATATAGGGACATCGGGACTCTCTTGAACCGTGTGCCGGGGAAGAAGAGACACCCCACCAAAGCTGAAATTTAGGCTTGGGGCGGAGGGCTAACGTTTGCTGCATTTAGGGTTTAGGGTTTAGGGTTTAGGGTTTAGGGTTTATTACATGCATCCCCGCCATCGTAAGCCCTACAAAGCCCTACACCGTAGTCTTCCGATGTTGCAAAGACTGTATACTGAAGAATACGAAGAAGGAAAGCCCGATCCTTAAAAGCCTACTTTAAAGACCCCCTAATGGATTCAGAAGCCTGCTAAGTCTGAAGCCTTCCTGGGTTTGGAGTTTGTCTCTTTGACCTTATTTACTTTAATGCTAACCCTCAACCATAAACCCTAAACTGCTTGTTTTAGGGGCCTGAACAGGATTAACATTTGCTTACCATGCTCTGATTAGTTAACATAGCACAACAAGTGTTCAAAACAGATATTATGGACAGACTTCAGACTGAAAACGACGAAGATCTGTATACTCATCTCTAGTATACACTCATCTTATGTCCCAAATCCCACAATCCCTGAAGCCCAACATCGCACGTCTCCATTTGCAGGATTACTACGGCGAGGAGGTGGGGCTTTGAGACCTTGGATCAGATAGGAGGGTCTTGTGAGTTGTTGAGTTCACTTCTGTGGTTTAGGCTAGGCCCTGCGGAGTTCTGGGGGAAACAGATTTCGGTGAGTGGCGAAGTCAGTCCGTGTTTTCTTGCGCTATCTTGAGCTGAGTGATGGTTCCATTTGTGTTTGGTTTGTCGGCTTGAGTCTTGCATTGCAATAGAGGTTGGTCTGTCAGCCCTGGGTGCCTTGTCGTCATTGTCTTCACCTGCTCGTTCTCCTGAGCAACATGATGAGGGACAACGAAGATGCCGAGGAATTTTCTACAAGCAGCCGGGGGTCGAGCGAGCCAGGACAGTTCTTAATTCACAAGCCTTGGGCTCTCTTTCTGTTCGTGTGTGGACTGAAGAAACCCTAAAGCCCTGCACCAAAGCGCCAGATCAATACAGGCTTCTCCCTTCAAAACGATGATACGTAATCGGGATCCGAAAATTAGGGCCTTTGAACAAACGAAGAGAGTTTGTTAATCAGGGGTCTACAGTATGGCTTGCACGTGTTTAGACATGCCAGGCCATGCTGCCCGAGCCGCCAGAAGAGACTGAGGAGAAGATGTTACAATCCCCTATGTGACTTTGGGTTTGGGGATCTTCAGTTCGGGGTCTGCGTCCAGGGACGCGCACTTTGTAAAGCAGCCGGATGACCCTTAGTTGAGACAAGTTCTTCAGGCATGTTATTCGGGCAAGGTCTGCTAGAAGTCATGAGATTAGCGCGCCCCTGAATTCCAAAGCCTACGTGTCGTCAGCGACAGCGAAAGCTAAACATGCATGCAAGTTGTCCATTATGGGTCCCTTGCCCGAGCCCTTCAGGCTTCAGTAATGATTGCAGGACCGTTTCCTTGCTGAGGGTTTTACGGAACGCTGGGCAAAAGGCATTTAGGTTTATTTAATTGTTGTGGATGGAACAGAGGGGGAACCGTCTGTCGTTTAAAGGAGCGACGCCGGCGACGTCGATACGTGTCCCTGGCACAGGCAATGGGACGGACTAGCTGTGTGCAGATGCAACATAGCCGAGGGTCTCTTTAATGATCCGAAGTGGCCCTGAATCATCCGTTTAGACGGTGGTTTTCAGCCTGGGACCGTTTCGAACAGGTTGGTGGGCAGCTTTATATTAGACCAGCGTATCAAGAAATATCTTGAACTTGAAAGGATTGCATTCCTTCTTTGCAATTCCTCTTTTCCCAGTAACCCCTCCATCCGAATAATCATTCCTTTGTAACCGGGCTCCTTGAGCTTAGGGGCAGGGTGGATGATTTAGGGTTTAGGGGTTTGGGATGTAGACCTGGGAAACCTTATAATAACTTTGTAACTGCATCGTTCGGTTGTTTGTGAGGCCTACGGCTATGGCTCGGTGGGCCTTGCCCGCCACCTTCGGCAGCAGATGGCCGTGTCTGCTTCTCTTCTCGCAAGACGAGGACACAGGAAAATCGCATCAAAGGGGTTTAGGGGTTTGCAGGTCTTTACGGTTCAGATTTTGCCGGCTTAGGATCAGAGCTGGTCTTCTTTGCATCCGGATCCGTAGTCCCAGATTTCTGGGAAGATGCCGTTTAGGGCAGACCTCGAGTTGACGGATGAAGGTTGGAGGGCGTTGGAATGTTGCGGGTGCGGGTGTGTTAGCTACTCCACTCGTTCTGTGTTGGAAAAATTTCCCAACCCGAAAACAATGGCTCCTGCCCTTCTTGTAGCTAAGTTTCGGTCTGGAAATCGTTTGTTACAAGTTTTATCTCGGGGAGCCGTGGAGAACTCACAAGCAGCGAGCGTTTCCTTTAGAGATCGGTGAGATGTTGCGCCAGCCTTGCCTCTGTAGCACTCTAGTTGTAGTCTGGCATCGTACAGCTTTGCCCTTGACTTGGACGGTCGAGGCTCTTCCTGTTTCGCTGGTGCCTTCTGATGTGCTCAGGTGCACCCTACAGAGTCACGCAGTAGTGTAGCTATCAGACTTTTAGGATGGATGGATGGATCTAATCTGAACCCTCAACCCTAAACCCTCGGAGTCTAATGAACCAAGGGTTTAGGGTTTAGAGTTTAGGGTTTATAGAGTTTAATATTTAGGGTTTAGGGTTTAGGGGTGAACTGAACTGAACCCCAGAAAGATGGAACATGAAGTCCGGAAGATGAATGCTCGGAGTCCCCTTTGAATTTACCTCGGGGGCATGTTTTTTGGCTTCTGGTTGAGGTTGCTGATGCGGCCAGCAAGATCAAGCGAGGCCAGATGAGTTTGGGAAGACACGCTTAAATCGAAACCATGGGCCCTAAGTATGCCTATTTGGTTAGGACATTCTCCATGTTTGAAGCTCCGGTTAAAAGGCCAGGAGCCGCTATGATGTGGCCTGATGCCTTTGGGCCTCTTTAAGGGCAGAGGATCGCAGCATCGTTTTGGAGTCCTTGGTTCATGCCCCAAACTAGAAGCTCATCTGGGCTTTGGAGTACCATACTTTAGTACTTGTTGTGGGACCTGTACTTGTTAGGTATCCTGTAGAGTG